TCTATCCAAGACCGTTAGGAATTGTGGGATGGTCTATCCAAGACCGTTAGGAATTGTGGGATGGTCTATCCAAGACCGTTAGGAATTGCGAGATGATCCATTCAATATCAAAGTTTAATCTTAACTCATTACAAACTTATGTTCGGACGCACAGTTTTCTCAGCTCCTTGACAATGTGTCAAGTATCTTTCACTGCAATTCCTCACAAAGCGACTTTTTCTAGAAACAGTCATGGCATACTAAATAAGTGAAAATCGGTGGTTGAATGACTGATTTTCTTAACATTCTGATTTTCAATAGTCATTGAAAAGCCCTGCCCAAAAGCAACTGCCTGAGGTAATTACTGTCGATCCATAGTTACAAATGAGAAAATAGATGMTGAAAGAATTGAAGAAACGAATGAAATGAATTTTCTAACCAGTTTGTTAATGTTCATTCTAGGATGCTAACCAAGATAAATCTGCAATGAAAGACAATTGAAATATGTATCAATCCTGAAATAAACCCTTTATATTCTTATCTTTGATATTCTTAATTGTATTTGAATTGAAAACTAGAATTTTACTTTATAATCTTCACCATTCTCAACRGTTTTTGCAGTAACTTTGAAATTAGGTCCAACAGTGATACCAACAATATGGTGCTTGATGTCCGTCACTATACTACGTCTTAATGTAATATTATAATTTTCCCAGCTAAAGGAATATCGTATGAAGCATATATATCAAAGCCTAACAGAGGGAAGAAAAAATTGATTGACATTCATTTTAATTATCTCAACACCTTTAGAGCGTCACTCTACCATTCATATGAATATGAAACTAAATGTATTTTCATCAAAAATCGATCATTTTTGGTATAATTTTACAGGTTCACTAAGATCAAAACAACTGATATGCAATGCGATTGACGCGATAATAATTTTCATTCCGATTATATAATCCTGCATGTCGTAAACTAAAAGGTACAATATCAGATTGAGACTCTAAAAGGTACGCGAGGGTCTTATTTTCAACCTTTTCTTCAGTRCTATATATCCCTACAACTTTTTTAATTGACGGCACCTCCCCCCGACCCTCAGGGTATATAGATTTAATTACCTCTTGATATAAGAAGTCAACAAGCTATTTTGAATATTACAGCTGCATCGTACTAAAGTGATACGGCGCTATAAACTAAGATGAAAAGAGGACGCGGCGGTATAAGACCGTTGAAGTCACTTCCGTAATCCGGGTCATTCCACGGAATGCAATTCGCCATAATTTCTAAAAAAAAGTTCACGGCGCTTGATGTGGTCATGGTATTGAACATATCCACAAGGAATGATCTCAGCAAAATATAGATTATGGTTATAGTCATTAGTACAGGCATAATATTAGCATTGGTCTAAGTGAGAGTGCCATTAAATACTACAGGCGATATTTCACAAATTAATATAAACAAAATTTAACACGCGATCTAGTGAAATTTGGGGAAATTTTTACAATACCCTGGTGTTAACGCCAGATGTCGCATTCAAAACATATATTTTGGTTTATAACATTGTTCAATACATGCATGCAATCCTGCAATTTTGATTTTGATATTTTCTTGCGTGCGTTGTKGAAAGCAGTGGTTGCTCAGGTGATTCTAAAATAGCAGTCTTAACGATAGATACTGCACTCTTCTAAGCCAATGAAATTGCACGATTGTGTTGAACTAMTGAACTACTGTTGAATTTATGATATAGTATATCATAACTTTGAGAACAGGGCCGCCATTGATCAAGATTCGAGTAAACACTGACTTTTATCTTTCACGTTTGTGATATCTGAAGACTTAATGAACATCATGAAATACACGCTTGTTGCAATATTCTTTCTGGTTGCGATGGTGAGTACAGAATTCATCCATTTCTCTCTCTTTTTTTTATATAAGAACATTGGAGTATATCACAGTACGCAATGATATAAAATACCGTGTTTTTGTTGCAGGTAATGATGGTGGATGAAGCTAGTGCGGGTGGTAAGTGTTTCTCGGGATTCTTCTTATTTTGCAGTAATATAGCATAATTTCCTAAATCCTTAAAACTCAGGACAACATTTTCGTAATTAGGTGTATATGCTCCGAATAAGCCTTTTTCCAGTTCAATGCGAGCGACCGCTGTTTTGTGGACAACGCACACACTTACGTTGAGAACAAAAGAAAGCACGAAAAAACGTTGACATTACAATAGCTCTAKAAATTTGAATCTTCTCCGATTTGAGGCTTAGCCTGAGCAAGAGTTTGAACCTTCTGAGAATATAGAATCGGAGAAAATGAAAATTCGTATAGAGCTATTGTAATGACAACATTTTTTCGTGATTTCTTTTGTTTTTGGTCAGGTCTCTGCGCATGGGAGACYGTTGTCAACTAAAGCAGCGGTTGCTCACATTGAACGGGAAAAAGGCGTATTGATTCTGAACAATCTATGCTAAGAACACATTAAAAAGACAAAGCATGACCACTGAAGCCGAACACTTTCTTTTGTTTTTTAATTAATTCCTAAATAGTAAAAGTTCTTTTTTCTTGGACAACGTTTGTGTAATTGGGTGTATATATTATTTTCAACACTCTAAATTACGTAATTTTTTTTGTGGTATCGGCAACTTGGCTTTGGCAGTAGGCGCATCCGTTTTCTTACCGCTTCAGCGAATAGCTATGTTCAGCCCTAATATTTAGTTATATTTCTTAGGTTTATCTTGCAATTTGTCAGTCTGCATATAAAGTGTATAAATTACTTATATATATTTAGGTTGCCCCACGCCAACAGGGTTTGGCACCTGTGTAGAAGCATGCGCTGTAGATGCTGAGTGTGCCGTAGGTCAGAAATGTTGTTTTAACGGCTGTGGACACGAGTGTATGGTTACAAGTAAGAGGTAAAAGACAAGAAATATACTTTGTATATATCCATGTGTAGTTCTAAAATAAGCTATTCATTGCATTACGAGTAGTCCGTGTTTTCATGGGGAAAAGTTGTTCCAGGTAGCAGGGTTACCGTCCTACCAGAGCTACCTGGGCGAGGCAATTTTTCTAAGATTTCTTGTAAATCAAGACTTGCCTCCGCTACCCTACTGGTAGGATTACCCTCTTTACGAAACGGGGTTATCTTCTTATCAATGAGATAGAACACAGGGGCGGATCCAGGATTTTCCTCAGGGAGGGGTGCAGGGCACTCAGTAGGGGATTCACCCCACRAAAAATCATTACCATGAAGATACAAAATAAGGAGCCGAGAGGTATGTCGAGCGTGCACATAACCGATGTTGAGCCCCAAAACCTTCTGGCTTCTTGATCAGCGGAGAWACATTTTTGCCATATAGACGATCTGCAAACTTGACTCGGGTAGGAGGGTGATTATCATCAGTATGATAGCAATGTTAATAATGACTTCATTATTATAATTTTTCAACAAACAAAAAACTGAATGTTTCAACTTTCATTTGTTATTTACCAGAGATGAAAGAATTATCTTTCACAACTGAATTACTACACAAAAATGCAATGACTTATTTTTTTTTCTTGTTTCAGACGTTAAATGAAATTTCAGTTTGACCGAGTTGCAGGACAGGACGATATGTTTTACGAATAACCACTAAAATGAGGATCAAGATTCAAAATGTTAAAAAAAATGTAGTTTGGGGTAATATTTGGAATAAATTGTTAAATCACTTCTAGCTTCTGCAGTTGTTGTCACTAATAAACATATATGACTATGCATAATCTGAGTACTTTTCTATATTTATTTTTATTGGGTGATTTTATATCCATATGCTTACAAAATACGCAAAATACGATGTTTTTCCACTAAACTCTTCACACCAATGATCCGGSCGCCAAGCATTTTTTGTATGTTTTTTGGAGGTGGACTTCATGTGACGAAAACTGCATCAGCGAACTGGATTATGGGATATCACTGACTTACTAGTGCCCAGTGTTGTTTGACACAGAAATCCCGCGCGTTAGCCGAACTTCTATTCAAAAAACAATTATAGTGGGCAGTTCAAAGGGTCTTTCTGTGTTATGACAGGAAAGGAATTACTTGTTTATAGAATATTCATTAACTCGATATTAGTTAATCATTTTTTTTATCAACACTCGCTGGGCGCTCAGTGGCTTCCGCAGAAAGTGATAGCCTGAAAACATGCATGTACCCTTAATGCACACTGGTGAATATTTATGACAATCACAACAATAACTCTTTGATAAGCACAGCTGGTACCATTGATTTCCAAAACAATTTGACAGCTTTCTACATTCAAGACAGAACTAATCTCCTGCTAGGAAAGAGGTTTCGATGCAAGAAACGAAGATGAAAGACAATGTTTTATGAATACAAAGTGATCAAGAGCTCCCAGGCAACTAATTAACTATAAATGGGTAGGTATTAGAGGTTATTATCTTCAATTAATGGTTATTGTCACTTGTAGTTATTGTACTTTACAATGCTGGTCGACACAGCTTGAATGAAACCTTGGTTTGGACTTAAATCTCATGGAAGTGTTATGGAAATGTTGGTTTATCGCACTATGTTCTGAATAACGTTGTCAAGCAGACCGGTATTCTAAGTTGTATTCTATCGACGTACCTGCTTTAAGCATTTATTTAAACAATTGAGATCCATAGATAGAGACTGAGAGCACTAGTTAGAAGAAACCGTGAAAGAAAGGAAATTATAAAAGATCTTTTGAAATAATTAAATCTGAAACTTTTTACGTTTATTTTTAGATTTACAATGCAAAAAACATAATTATTAAAAGGTCAAAAAGCCACATTCATTTTGAGTCGTGTTAAATAAGTTTATCTGCAATGATCGAGGAATCTTAGAGAATTGTTAACATTATGTAATTGCTAACATATTCTTATTGTTTCAAATGGTATGATCTTAAATGGCAGTGATTTGAGAATGTGCCTAAGGCATTTTAATTAAAAAGGTAAGCGCGACAAGATCCTTAAGTATTTCTATACTATGGAACTCAATGAATCTTAGATATTCAATTATGAACCCCTCTATAACCATGCATCTTGATATTTTATTACACTCAATTTCTGATCTATTCAAGTTTTTATATTTTGCACTTTCGAAAAGTTTCAAAAAGTTTTGTGAACTTTTTTATGTAAAATTTAGTTCCTTTTTGCCTACMATAAAGTTGTTATTGTAATTCGAAGAGATGAAGCTATTTTAGCTTCTCTTTTGAGATTTGTTTGCTCTGGTTTTAAGATCGCAAGCGAATAACTGTCATCACTTTGTGAGTGAAAAGCCGACTTTTTGTTTGCTAAAGATTACAGAAGGTTTTTACTGAACTCATTAAGTAAGACTGAAACTCTGCAATTGCCTGCAGTTTAACTCTTATTTTCCTTTCAATGGACTTGTGAAAATGACTTATAAAGCTTGTTAAGACTGCTAAGCTGCTTTTATATCGATAAATGAATAATACAAGGAAAATTACACTGAACAAAAGAATTCTTGTCTTTGAAAAGTAAACAAAAACAGTGCTTAAATTAAATGCAAATTTTCACTATTATCATCTGAACTATGATGTACTTGAATTTTAAGTACTGACTGAAATTGTGAAACTACATTCTACTGTTTGCTCAAGTTGAACAAGGTTTTCGTTCTGAACTCATCGACGATACCAAAAAAACTCTACATAACTGAATCGTTTGGTAAGTTATTAAACTGTAGGCAATGCTTTCCGCCTATGACTCAATCTCAAAGGTACGTTAAATACGGTTAACACTTGACATGTTTGACCGGTTTTTGTTAGGAACACTGCAACTAGAGTCACATATAACGTTAGTGTAGCTATTTCGGTATCAGAAATATCATCTTTTTTATTGAAAGCAAAAATAAGTCAACTAAAACATAACTTTGTGTGTAAAGAAAAATATATATTCGATGTATAACCATGCGAAGAATTTGCCTTCGCTGTTCAGCTTCAAAGAGCCTCACTGCTGAAAGTGTCCTGTTCTTGTGCAACCAGTCTCAAGACGTTTTCCAAGTGTTTTTGTCCATAGATTGCACCTTTTTCAGATGTTTTTGCTCGTGCAAAGATGACACGACATAATTTGATACATTATTAAGCTACGCATGAGCAGTTACTACTTGTCAATACATCTTATGCGATATAAAAAATCTTATTATCACAAGCTACAACATTGAAGACACAACGTTCATTGGTTCAACATTGATGAAAATTGACATTACCGCTGAAGAAATTGATTTGTCTTGTGTAATTGTCGTTGTTGATGTGTTAATAGTAAGAATGAATTGTCAAATAATTACTGAACACTGCTGATATCACGGACGATGTTTCACTGTTTAGCAATTATTAACATGTATATTTACCACGCACTAGTTATTGCATGTTATGTGAAAGTTTGGAAAATGTTTATGGAAGGATAGTTAGTGATATAAAGCGATGTTATGGTAATTGTGATGTTCTTCCTTTGTGGCATTCCCGGTCACTGGTCTTTGTGTCTTGCCACTGATGCACCGAGTAAAACAGGATGTCAGCGAAAGAAAGAAACAGTAACAACTAACCAAATATTTTACCAAAAAAGCCCACTAACTGACCAACCATTCTAACATCCATTCAACGAATCAACCACTGAATCATCAATATCAACAAGTAGGCAACAATCTGCTCTTAACACCTTAGCCAACTTACTAACCAACCAATCAATAAACCAGCTGACCAACCAACCAACTAACCATGCAGCTACCTAGCTATCCAACCAATACAACCATCATCCAACTAGCCAGCCCAACAAATCATTGGTGTTCTCTTGCAGGTCTAAGTAGGGTTGAAGAACTAGAAGCAAGGTGCTCAGAGCTCGAAGAACTATACAAAGAAGCTGTCCAGGCCCGCGATGAAGCTATAGAAGAAAGAAACAGCGCGACSGTGGTTCTTGCCATTCAACTTGAGAAAGAAACACAAGAACTTAACTCGAAAATCGACACATTAAACAAAGAAAATAACAGACTGCTAGATGAGAATGATGACTTACAGATTAAGTTAGAATATGCAAGGAAAGATTTGAAGAAACTACAGGTAATGTTTTGCAGCTTGTTTATCCACTTTTATGTCAGTATGGTTAGATCAAAAATAAAATTGCTATCATTAAAAAACTTGCATTAATTGTGAAACTATTCAAGAATTTTTTTTTGCAGAAAACACATATAAAACTTCAGCTTGAAACTGAAAAGTACATAACAGAAAAAGACGACGCAATTCAGAAACTCAAAGAATTTGAGAACGCTGAATCAAAGAATAAATCAGAGAGTAAAGAACAAAATACAAATAACCATAACTGCCGAACCAACAGTTGTAATAAGGAAAGTAACATTGCATCTGATATACGAAGTGCGAACGGATCTCAAACTGACATCAAAGCTGCGACAGCAATTGCAACTATTGGAAACAACAACAGCGACAGCAGTGGTGAGAGTAGCGTTGACAACAGCGTCAACAGCAGCAACACAAACCATGTGAAGACAAACGGATTGCACAAAGAAAGCGATGGAAAAGTTCCGGAAACTAAAGCTGTAGCATCAGCCAAAGACATGGACAAGGTAACAATAAATCTATGAGATAAAACTCAATGACACTTTCGCTGTGTTTTTGATCTTCTAGTTGCTTTGTCCTGCTTTGTATTTGATTAAAAAGCAGGATTTAGCGTAGGCAGCCAACATCCCAGCATGCCTTTCTAGAGATCATTTATTGCTTAAATCCCTGGACAATAGTTTGGTAAATGTATGTAGTAATGTCTTCAACAATTAATTTTTGATTTATCCATAGGACGAGGGTCATACATCCATTAGTAAAGGTAATACGTTGACCTGATGAAGATGATTCGTAGACTGATTCAATCGTTTGTCTCTGTTCATTATCCTGTTCATTTTTAAATTGGGCACAAATGTGATTCAACTTTTCAAAAGGCTGGTGACGGCTGTATGTTGACTATGATATTGGATAATTGGATAATCTCTGTTCATTATCCTGTTCATTTTTAAATTGGGCACAAATGTGATTCAACTTTTCAAAAGGCTGGTGACGGCTGTATGTTGACTATGATATTGGATAATTGATGATGACAACGATGGTCTGATGTTAATAGATTGTCATCCTGTTACTATGATAATGATGATATATGATGACTTTAAAGATGATCTCATACGTGTCTGTAATATAGCACTTCGACTTGTGATTGGCACCCAAAACCTTTTCCTTTCCTTTCCTTTCCTTGTTAATCGGGCCATGAGTTGATGATATCAAAGTTGACATGTTTGGTGATTATYTAGATGAACAAGAGCCCAGACCTCCTATCAAGCTTAAGACATCATCAATCCAAGATGACTACGACGTCCACGAAGAGCTTGGAAAGTAAGTCCTCTTGCTTATAGATRCACTTTTGCAGGGTTTTATTTGCCAAAACCAACCCAGTCCGAATACATGACTTGATTATTTGATGTTACTACCTGTCTTTTTTCAAGATAGTTGTGCCATCGTTTCGATCGGATTTCACGTCGCAAATGCTCAAAAATAACGATTTTTGTATCAAAAGGGGATTCATTAAACGTGCTCTATAGACTGGAACTGCGTCAAGCAAAATTAACAAAACCAAATAATTCTATTTTTAAGGGGTAAATTCGGCGTTGTCAAGAGAGTCACTCACAAGTCGTCTGGCGAGGTATTGGCTGCAAAGTACATCAAGACTTCATCAGTTGCCGGSTCATCACGTGACGATGTCCTGAGAGAGATCAACATCATGGGTAGACTACATCACGAAAGGCTTGTGGGATTGCTGGATGCTTATGATGCTGGAAGAAACATTATTATGATCATGGAATTGTACGTTTTCGTAACTCAAATTGTCTCGATAAGTATCTCCTAAACATTTTTAGGTTAACAAAACCAATCTATACTTTTTTTCAGTATTTCTGGTGGTGAGTTGTTTGAGCGAGTCGTGGATGAGGATTGTCTAACAGAGAAGGAAGCAGCACACTACATGTATCAGATACTGCAAGGACTGCAGCACATGCATGACATGAGTATTCTTCACCTTGATCTCAAGGTAATCTCATTGAATAAACTGAAATCCTGCAAATCATCAGCTAGCTGAATATATTAGTAAATTATAATACTTATTATTGGAATGTCTGAATGATTAAAATCTTAATACCATATATGGGACTCTTTCACCAAATATGGAATATAACTTTCTTCACAGCCGGAGAACATCGTGTGCGTTAGCAAGGACAGCTGGGACATCAAACTGATTGACTTCGGCCTCGCTATGGAGCTCGTCCCAGGAACAAAGCTTAAAGCCATGAAAGGAACTCCAGAGTTTATGGGTATGTTCTCTTTGGAGTTGCATATGATATTTTTCCAATGTAACTGATGCAATTGCATTTTTTATTTGAAGCACCCGAAGCTGTGAACTTTGAGACTATYGGGAAGGCTTCAGACATGTGGTGAGTAGAGATTGTTAAAACTTAAACATTTAGTAATAAATCAAACAATTAATTATTAATTCTTTTATACAGGAGCATAGGAGTAATAGCATATATACTGTAAGTAGTATACCCAGAGTAATTTAATCCATTTTGCGGGATCCCTGTGTTATATTTTTTTGGGATTCCTGTGCGCCAATTCAAGATGGCGGACAAAATGTGTTGTTGAATCTACAAATTTCTAGTCAAAGTTTCGACTATAGAAATAATTTTTCAGATAATACAAGAATGAAATGAGGTGGGTAAAGGTAAGATATATAGAATATTTGAACTGACGCGATGTAATCTTCATTTAAAAGGTTGAGCGGCTTGTCGCCCTTCATGGGAGATGACAACAACGAGACTCTSTCAAATGTCAATGCTGCCGARTGGGACTTTGACGATGAAGCTTTTGATGTAATATCAGAAGAAGCAAAGGAGTTTATATCACAGCTYYTGATTAAGAATCCAAAGTATGTAAGCTCCCACAGAATGTTCATTGCTTTTATAAATGCCATCAAACAGTGTGCATAAAAACAATTAATGTGGTGATTGTGCTATTTATTAGTACTGCTAGTATCATTTGTTATGAGTTAAATGCTCATTAACTATTGAAGTAATTCAAAGAATCCGCCAGCATTATCCATATTTAATAATTTTCTACTGTGAATGTTTGTTTTAAGGAAACGCAATACTGTAGAAGACTGTTTGAACCACAACTGGATGAAGGTACCTCTCTTAATTCAGGAATATAATTGWATCATTTGAAACATATAAGACAGCTAGACCAAGAAAACCTWAAGTTCAACTGTACATCCTCTGTTTGATTCTTAGAAAAGTGCATCTTCAGATGCAGTCAAAATTGATACCAAGAAACTCAAACAGTTTTTAGCTAAGCGAAGATGGCAGGTAAGATTTTCATGCATCTAAGGCCTTTTATCCACTTAACATAATTAACATGTAGGGTTAGTCCTAAGAGGGGTGCTACGAAAATCAAAATTTGCCCTCTTGGCTCATGGACTATAGTAATAAAGTTATTTGACTTATGTGTAACTGAGACTCTTTAAACTAGATGATAATGTTAATGAATGAAATTTAAAGTAAAATTGTAAATTACTTAAAATACTTGTAAATTAATTTTAGATTAAATGTGACAATCAAACTGACGATGATGATGAGGTATGGTAATGCACAGTGTACCAGCACATCACTGCACTGTCATACCATACTAAGTACTTTAAATGTTATATAACAGATTTTGTATTAGCATTCAAGTTCACACGTTTTCTCATTTGGCATGATGTTTATACTGTAGCCATTGCATCACAGCCTCTTTTGCACCAAGCCTCACTTTCTCAGCACATCAATTACACAGAAGATTCCATGTTATCTAGTTTCTCAGTTCATAGTCTTTATCCAATTTGATAAAGTATTTTGCAATACTATTTACTTTCACYAATTGTTCTAAGAAATGGAGTTCTTTTGCAAACTTGCACATTTATATGCCAATCCAATTCATATAATGAAGTGGGTTTTATTTGTGGAAGCTGACACAGTAATACTAGGCAAGATATATTATGGTGTGTTATATCTCTTGTAGAAATCTGTCAATGCCTTAGTAGCAGTGAGACGATTATCTTCTATGACTAACCTACTTGGTCTCAATAAATCTCGTCCTTCAATTTCACCACTTCTTGCTGTTGTCCCATCAACCAAGGAAGAAAGTGAAGAGGATGAAGAAAAGGAGTCTAAAAACGAGAATGAAAAAGATGAGAAAATGAACGAAAATGATGACAGTAAAGAATCGGAAACTGAAACTGCAAATATCAATGAGGCCAAGCAAGGAAATGAGAMAAATAACAACGTAGCTGTAAAAGACAATCAAGAAAATTCTCAGCAAAATCTGGGAGAGCAACACCTAACGCAGCAACACCAACCTCAGCCAGAGCAACCACAACCAGAGCAAACAGAGCCAACTCGGGTAGAGCAACCACAGACAGAGCAAACACAAACAGAACCAACCCAGGCAGAGTCATTACAGTCAGAACAATCTGGACCGACTCAGGCAGAGGAGCTTCAGCTAGAGGAACAAGGAGAAAATCGAATAAATGAAAATGAGGAAATGCAAATTCTTTCCAGTAAGTATGAAAACGAAACTGAGTGTGACAAAAACGGAATAAATAATATGTAAGAACCGATTTATTTATTAGACTTGACTATTGTCAAAAACTTGCCGAACCTTATAACACTGAAAATTGACTTGTCATATTTATCGTATTAACTTTTCATTACTATCYGTTTATAACCAGAAAAACCTGTTTTCATAAAAGAGCTGGATGACTTCACCGTYCGCGAGGGCGAGACCGTTATCATGGAAGCCATTGTGGATGGAGGTCCCGGATGTAGGGTTGAATGGCTATTTGATGGTGGTGAAGTGAATGACAGGGAAGGAGTGTCTATTGTCGACCATGGAGATGGTCGTCATACTGTGGTGATCACTGA